AAATACAGATATTATAGTCATAAAATATTTATTATTTATTTTGAAATTGCTTCAATGAAATTTTTTAGGATTACTTTGAGCATTTTGATGTTATAACATATTTTTTGCAAAATGACCTTTTTTTGAACAAACTTAGATATAAGAAGTGTATCATTTAAGTATATCGATCGATGGTTGAAAAATTCAAAGCCTTATTCGAATCCTATCATACAATTTTTTTCGTTTTGAGCCGTAGAAATGATTTAATCCTCTTTAATGCTTTTTGGTATAAATTTTATCATTATTTATTTGGCATTATTTTTAGAACATGATCTTGTTAAGACATTCATCATCAATCCTAAATCCTTATATTTTCCCGTAAGTGCAAAACTGTCTTATCTTATTTTGAAGTTAATAACACTTGATTTTTACTGCTATTTAATTCTCAGTGCTGTATTAATAAGCTCAAAGATGAATGAAGTCAATCTTTTGTTTAATTGGATGGATAATAATCCATAAATGACTACTTTAACAAAATAAGAAAAGATAGATTTATAATCTGTTGAAACACAATTCATATAATACAGTGCAAACGAATATATGGCCATCATTTTCATAATTTATGACTCATATTTATAATTTGTGTAAATACTTTCAATAAATTGAAACATATTAATTTATTGAAATTAATTGTTTCATCTATTTAAAAAATTTAATTATAAACATCTAAAAAAAAATTTAGAAACAAAGTTAGCTAGGTTGATGATATCATAATATAATATATTTGAAATATTTGTTTAAAAAAAATTTCTACGTTTTTTGAACAATCTCATAAATTTGATATTTTTCAAAACTTGTTTAAGATTCAATATCTTAGATGGTTTATTTCCAAAATACCGATAAAAATGAAGTCATTGAATAAGTAATAAAAAAGTGTTGTTATCAAATCTTGACAACAAACGTGTAATTATGTGTGTTGCTGTGAGTCTAAAAAATCATCAACTGAAAGAAATTGAGATTATATAGAGGTAGGCAATGCAAATCACTTTCACATACTCATGAAGATAAATTATATCAAAGATTGATGTTAATGATGATGACAATAGTTTTTTACTCTCAAATAAGAAATGCATTGTCTCAAGATAAAAAATGGAAATGTTTTATCATAAATTTATCAAAAATAATTTGACTATTTACCTATTTACAGATTTTTTAAAGATTTGGTTCTTCTCTCATCATAGTTTTACTTTGAAGAAAATATAAATTTCACATTCCATGATAAACCGTGTGAATTTAATTCGTTACGATTAGTTGTATATTCATTTTCTACAAGAATTTTATTTTGAATACAGAAATGATAAATTATTTTATGATATCAAATTTTTTTTATATATTTTTTTAAATAAAAGTTGGTAATAAAAAACTCATGAAGATTAAATTTGTTTCGAAATTAGAGCAAAATTTGGAGTAGATATAAGGTTTGTGCAGTGTACAAATATCAGTGGTATCCAATGATGTTAGGTCGATTACCTTGACGTTACATTGTTCATGGATTTTCTCATGTACAGGAACGTTCACGTATGGGAGGCTTTTTCTGTGCAAGTTCTAACTCGTGTCAGTAAGAGATGCAACAACTGGGTGAGCAGGTTGTACGTCGATCTTCCCTCGAAGGTCATTAATACGCGCTTTGGTGAAATATTGACCGGCGCTCCGTCATAGACCTCACCTGCTTGAATGTCGGCGGCAACAATCGCCGTCACTTATTTGCTCCAGGCCACTCCCGGGACTGGCTCGGACCCGAACCGAGGACACCCGACGAGCATTCACTGTATACTAAACCCGCTTACGGTAATCCAACCGTCTGTGTGTCACTGCTGTAGACAAAAGAGGGCACCTTATTTATTGAAATTACCCAAATTATTCTCGGAAACTGCGTTAATGCAGTTCCACTGGAGTACGGTTATCGGCCTCGGGATGAGACCTCTTCAGAGTACCATTAATGTATATACACCGGGCCGGCCTGTGCTGGCACACAGGCCGGCCCGGTACCTCGGCCTGGGTCGGCATGCACCGGTATAGCACCACCCCTTCCAATTCGGCTATATGCTGTCGGCTTTTTGATCACCTTCAGCCATTTTGACCCCGGAGGACATTTCGATGGGCCATAGTTTGGGAACACCTTTAACCCAGGCTTATAAATTTTGGGATTTTGCTGTAAAATCCCCTTATTTCTAAAATTAAACTTGGCGCGTCCATAAAATTAAAGACACCTTCAGATTTAGACTTCATGTATGGACGGAGTTCATATATAAAATATGGACTCCGAATGAAACTGTTTACACCTATTATTGACGTGTTACAGTCACGCAATATTCAAGAAATGTGAATCTATCTCGAGACTAAAATTTCAGCAATTCTTGTATTTACATGTCTCAGTTGACGATAGTTACTATGAAATCTAAGAAAAGAGCTCAATCCATATGAGTTTCTAGTATTTATCTCAAAAAGCCCAAAATTAAAACGAGAAGAGTCCACAAATTGATTTATATCTTATAACTATGGGAAGACCCAGGCTTTATGAGTCTTGCTTTAATCTCATTGTACAAGGAGGTATTTCGCGTTCTCGAATGAATGTAGCAATTGGGAGATCGAGGTGGAGTGAGTACCTCAGGATCCCAGTAAAAGCATCAGACTAATAAATACAAGGACCGAAAGGAACACAAGGCGTCAAGAGCACAAGAGTTTCCACAGGATGGGTCATAGAAGGCAAGAAAAGGTGAGTTTCAGATCTCTTAAGACGGATTGAACCCAGGTGTCGGCAAATCCGATTAATACGATTGAAAAAGGTTACGCGTGGGATATTGTTATGACGAGAGAGTACAAACTGAAGATTCAAGAAGTGTTCCTGTTGCTGGAGAACGTTATTAGTTTACCATTTCCGGTAAGGTCTCATCGACCATCTTAAAACATTCTCTTAATTATGTTTCGCTCTGTAGCAAGCCTTTCACATGTTGTTAAAAGAAGACGCCAAAGAAATGTATCGCACAAATTACGAACGGGTCTTCGATAAATATCAAATGGATGGACATTATGAGAAAATTTTAAAAACACAAGTTTCTTAGAAAAAAGAGTTCCATTCCGTTTAACAACATGAACCAAGCCTAGCTTCCTTCATGCTACAAAATTGTGCAATATAAATATGTAGTATTGAATATGGTTCAAGTTCAACCTACTGACTAATTGAGGAACTCTATCCAAGACTCGCTTTTGACTGTATCCATCTTCACGTTAAATAGTACAAAGTACATTCAAGCCTCAAGAACAAAAGTACTTGAGAATTGTGAGTTATTCCCCTTCTACTAGGTGTACCCGAAAGTGATTCGCTTCATCCACAACTATTTGTCATAAAACGATTCCAAAAGATTTGTGAATTGTATTGTAATCCTATTTTAAAAACTCCTTTATCCGGTTAGTTTGTCCTTTTAACCGCTTGAATGAACTCATGATGCCAAATTTGAAATTGATACGTCGAAGGTATTTGCGGCTGGGGGAAATTGCGGTGGACAGGAGAGTCGCTTTAACATCTGAGGAGATTGTACAGGATACCCACCTAAAGGCCCATTCTGAATCTTCAATGATGTAGGTAGGGTCAGCGAGGATATATCGGCGTACTCTTCGTAGACTTGTAGCTGTGATGACTTTCTCCAACAGAAAAGAGCATTCACCAATTTCTCATTTCCTGAAAGAAGAACAAACTAATCCCTGATGATCATCATATCACGCCACATGCTACAGTCTCTTTTCTGTTCTGGTAAATTATCGTAACTCGGCTGAATATCGAAATGGCAGGTACTCCCAAAGTGGAAACGTGGGCCAAGTACAGAGCGAAAGGGATGGCAAGACCCATCAAGCCGTACGAAGATAAACTAGAACTAATAGTATCATTGCCATGAAAACGTTCTAGTTCCAATTAATTAAGGGAGTGCTTAGTTATCCTCACCTAGCCTAATGTGCAATATTTTTTCACTCGAAGATTATATTACATAGCTGTAATAAACATAAAGATAGCTCTGACCAATCACAGAGCTCTGTTATGTATAATATAGTAAGGTGAGCGATAATTAACCCCAACTGAAAGGTAATTAGCCGCTCCCTTTATTAAATGAGAATCGAAATTCGATTCTTTTGGAACGTTAGAAGATTTTGATTCAATAATCCAGATGATAACCAACACTAAAACAGCAGTGGAGATAGATAGATCCCATGCCTCGACTTGCTGAGGTTTCAATCTGCAAGCTAAAAAATTCGTGCGAATCAGCGGACAAGTTCACCAAGCCGTTTACCGTTGTCGGGTGGAGATTCTCTGAGAGAGTCGAGCACCGGAGTGATGATTGTTCATACTTGCAGGAGAGGATTTAATTCCCCACCGAGAAAATGTGGAAGCTGGCACCTACATTTGGATGAGACGGCGGGAGTCCAAGCGGGGACCGGTCACGGGGCACCGGGGCGGCCGGGAGTACTCGGAGCATGCCATGGCATGGCATGCAGCGAGGAGGGCGGAGTGCCGTACAGCATTTAACGACCTGTTTTGTCGTTTGACGCAGTGGCTGCGGGGCGGATATGGAAGATCCGACGGGCGTCAAGAAGTAATGACCATGCAGACGATCGATCATTGTGGTTCGCGAGCACGAAAACTGTCTTCCGTTTGGCTCGTCTGACCGGCGCTCTTGTGGCAGGCCTACGTGGCAGCCTCGGCGGACCTGACCTGGCCAACTTCAGCCCTAGCCTCTAGACCCGCATCGCAGCCTTTCTCCCTCCCCGTCCCCCGCTCTCGCCGTCGTCCCTTCCTTTCCTTTCCTTTGCTCTCCTTTCCTTTCCCTTCCTTTCCCGTCCGGTCCTGTCCTGTCCTTGTCGTTCGCTGTGCGCTTTACTAGCCCCCTCCGCCTCCTCGACCGCCGGCGTTTCTGTTCTGTTCTGTTCTGTTCTGCGCTGCTCGGGAATTGTTTGGAGTTCTTTACCACGCGCGGTGGGGACGCCGGCGAGACTTCTTTCCATTTCTTTACAGAGCCGCGGCTCCAGACGTTGGCTGGCATTCGCCGCGGGGCTTGGCTTTCTACTACGCCTGTCGACCGACATCGCTGCGGCTTCTCCTTCTCCTTCTCCTTCTGCTGCTGCTGCTGCTTCTGCTTCTTCTGCTTGGTCTTCGTCTTCGGCTCTGGCCTGTTCTGTTCTGTTCGTCCTTCCTGTGCTCGTACGCGAGAGCTGTCGTTTGTCGCTGCCGCTGCCAGTGTCCTCTCGTAAGGTCGTTCCGCTTTTCTACTACTGCCTGGTACTACGCGCTCTGGAGCTGCTGGCTCCAAACGTTTCTCTTGTTTGGGGCACGCGGAGCGATCGAGCTGCGTGAGAGAGAGAGAGAGAGAGAGAGAGTGGTGAGCAGAGAATTTCTGCAGCGGGAAATTTGCGGAGTAGATGCTCGACGAATTAGTGTGGTCCTCGCTGCTGTATCCTCGCTTCTGCGTGATCTCGCGACGGAGCTCGAGTGAGTCCCCGGTGCTCGTCGGCGCTGTACGATGGACAATCCCCATAACCTGCCTCCTCCTCCTCCCCTGCCTCCGTCGATGAGGCCCGGGGCTTCTTCTTCTTCTTCTGCTCCCAATACAGGACAAGGAGCCACATTGACGCCAGGGCTGCCGGGTCCTCCTCCTACACGTGGAGTTTCGGGGCCTCCCCAAAGGCCTTCTTCTGGGCGGCCTTCTGGTCCACCTGGATCCTCTTCTTCGAGCTCTGCACATAGCTTGGCAATCGCCAAACAGTATCCGCAAATGCGACGGAATGGCCTGGGCATGAAAGGCATGAAATGCGAACTCGACGTGAATCACTTCAAAGTGAAATTTAATCCTCGTGATGACGTCTACCACTACAATGTATACAGCGTTGTGCCTTCGTGTTGCTTCCGTCCTGTCATGTCTCTTGTTCGAATTGGAGTTTGGAATTACAGCATGGATTATGGATTAGAGGAGAGGCGATGACAGTCACATTGGTCTTCGACGTTGTGCAAAACCGAGTCTTCTGAATGCGGTGTCTGAAATACTATGTGAATTCGCCGTTGTGTTGTATGCTTTTTGCTTTACCAGCTCAAATTAACTGGGTACATTTTTCGCGCTAACCTCTCTCCCAGGTTACCATCGATCCCCCAACCAAGAAAGTGGTTAGCCGGAAGATAATGATGAAACTGTACGAAATCTATGGCGAGAAGACCCTCATGGGAAAAAAATTCGCTTACGATGGGGAGAAGAGTCTCTTTAGTGTTGGGTCATTGGATTTCAACAGTAGAGAGTTTCAGGTCTCCCTGGAAGATGATCCCGGGCGTGGTCCCCGGTAAATGCACTTGCAGTCTACATTTACCCATTCAAATGTGGTGATGATTGAGGATGCAGACACTTACAGAGTGGCAGGGTTTAAGTAGGGGTCCGCAGCATTGTGGAGACTCATAGCTGCTGGAGGCTCAACTTTGATATTACCTGGCTTGCAGACGCATCAATGTGGTACGAGAAGAATACGCGGATGATGAAGACGGGAGGGCTGCGCAAAGAAGGAGGGCTGGAGGTCGAGATTTTAGAGTACAGATTGAATTTGCTGCGAAGGTGAACATGAAGGCTATTGACTTGGTTTTGAAAGGAGAGCGCGATGATACTGCACAAGATGCTCTGCGCGTTCTTGATATCGTGCTGCGTGAGCATGCGGCTAGGAGGTATAGCGTTGACCTCTTCCACTGTCTTAGTACGTTACTGCCATTTTAGACCTCATCTATACCCGCTTGCTCGAATTCGAAGGTAGGAAAGAAGAGCTCCTTTAATATCTTGTTTGGAGACCCAAGGCCTGCTGGTACACATGTAAATAATAGCTTTCGCTTCATTATGGTCCATCACGAAGTAATCCATTGAACTGGTTCTTGGAATTGTCTCGAAACAATAGGAGTTACCTCTTGATCCGAGATTGTTACTTCCACAAATCTCTCGGACCCGTCGGAGAAATCGGAGAGGGAGTCCAATCATGGAGGGGCTACCACGTGTCGTTCAGACCAACATCCGGAAACTGCTTAACGCTAAATTTTGGCAAGTGCCTTGTTATTTTGTAGGATAGAGTACATTATCTATGTCTTTTCCATGTCCGATGTTAGGTGACAAGTGCAGTATTCTCGTATTGACCCTCGGAGTTATCACGCAGATCTGTCGACTACAACCTTGATCAAGCCTTTGCCTGTATTATTGTTCATTCAAGAGCACTGCAAGAAGGAAGTTCGCAATTTCAGAGATGCGGACTGGCAAAAGGTAGATTAAAATCTGTTTCGTCTACGTCTGCAGTCTCTTTGATGGACCTTGATCGAATAGCGACAGCTACGTATTGTAGTTCGTATGTTAAGAATCCCTTGTTCTGTCTAGCTATCGTTCTGGTTTTCTCACCTGCATGCGTCATCACAGGCGAAGAGGGTCCTGAAGGGTCTGCAAGTGGAAACCTACTCCGGGCGAAAGGAGAAGATTTTGGGGTTCAGTCCGCAGGCTTGCGATGTTACTTCGTGAGTGCACGGAAGGAACACATTTTCGTTTTGCAAGAACGCTGTTTATTTCTAAGTGGTGACTTTAAGGTTAGACTTACCTGTGCTTGCAAGGTTATTATTGGCGGAACCCTCTCTGCCCTTCGGATCATAACGAGGACTTGAACCTATCTTCAGATTTGCGAAGAAGATGAAGAACGCTGCAGGTGATGTGGTTGAGTCTGTTGACATAACCGTAGCAGACTACTTCATTAAAGAACGGAACCTGACGTTGAAGTACACTAATCTGCCATGCCTTGACGTCGGCAGAGCCAGCAAGCCCGTGTATCTGCCTATCGAGGTAACCTTTATTGAGATCTTAGTCAAGATAACGAACGCAGCGTAAGCGAAGTTTTAGCTCTTGCCATCTAACTTTAAACTTTGAGTGTGTGTCAGCTGTGCAAACTCGTGGAGGGTCAAAGATATAAAAGAAATCTGAATGGGATTCAACGGAAGAACCATATCGACCAAGCCAGGCAGGGTCCCGATGAACGGCGGAAGATTGTGCAAGATGTAAGTACACGTGCTCTACAGATATCCTTTTCCGATATATCATCTATTCTTTTGATAAGGTGTATCACACTCTCACCCTCTGCTATGGTCTTCTTACAGGCGATGGACGTCAATGATTACAATTCAGACGAACTCGTGACAGAGTTCAACGTTCAGATTGACAAGAAAATGGCTCGTGTACAGGGCCGTGTCTTGGAGCCCCCAAGTGTGAGTTTTGTCAAGAGTTATTCATCGTGCTTCACAGTCTTTGTCAGCATGACACCGACAGGAAATATTGTAAAGAATTGGTTTTGGTGAATCAGCATTCCCATGAGTCTGGATTCGCGAGGCCATTCTCACTATTTACTTCAAATTTTTCAGTTAACTTTCGGGAATAAGGAGGAGAAACCAATGAACGGCCGCTGGAACTTCAATTCGAAGGTAAGTTCTACTCAAAAGTTATGTGCTTCGTGCACGGTGATGGACAAAATGAACTGTAGTGGCTACTTTCCATGAAAAGATGCAACTAGTCTGTGGCTGCAGGCTATGTCTGAGTGGCGGGTTCCACAGTTTGTATCCCTCACAACGAGAAGCTCCGAACATCTAATGCCAGAATTTTGAACTTCCTTTTGGCAGAAAATGAAGGTTGCAGTCACAATCGACAAGTGGGCGGTTGCCAACTTCGGTCGTGTGCCCGTGGATGCGCTTGCAACTCAGCTGAGGGCTGTGTGTGCACAGAAGGGAATGGTGATGATTTTCATACATATGCATTTCACTTAGTCATCGATAACCATGTGTAGAGAGCGTCTATGGTTTGTGTCCTTAACGAGAAGGTTAATTTGTGCATTTAGTCATCGATAACCATGCGTAGAGAGCGTCTATGGTTTGTGGCCTTAACGAGAAGGTTAATTTGTGCAGACTCTGTCTCAAGCTGTCATAGTCAACGAGAACCGGAATATGTCCAACCGTTCTGCTGAGGATCGCGTGGCCGATATGCTGTACCAGCAGCTGAAGGTTCATCAGCCTCAGTTTGTTCTGGCAATCTTGCCTGAGAAGTCCTCTGAACTGTATGCCCCTTTCAAGAAGATCTGTGAAACTGTGATCGGAATTGTCACTCAGTGCATCGTCCCGCCTCGTAATGTTAAGGACCAGTACTTGACCAATGTGGCTTTAAAAATCAACCTGAAGGTAACGTGAGAGTGATTTTGTCTTCAGCTAATTCTCCATCAGTTAGGTTTTATCTTAAATGCGGTCTGACTTTGTACATCACTGCACTTTTTCCAGTGGGGAGGCTACAACACTGTTTTGACGCAGGAGGAGAAGAGGTTGTTGCCGAAGGTGTCAGCTGTGCCTACGGTGATATTCGGTTTGGATGTGTCGCATGGATCTCCTGGTGATGCGAACTCTCCGTCAATAGCCGCAGTAAGTAGTCTTAGGTTTTCCTCTGCAACGTTTGTCAGTATGGCTGATACGATTTCGCCAAGGAATCTAAGAAAATCTGTCTCCTGCCTACCAGGCTGTTGCTTCCATGAACTGGCCATTTATGTCCCAGTATGCACCAAGAGTCCGAGCTCAAGCGCCAAAAACGGAAATGATTGAGGGTCTGTACGAAGAAATCGATGGAAAACCAGGGGGCATGGTCATGTATGTATTCCTCTCCTCTGAAGAGAATTTGGAAGTATAGTTAACGAGTAATCAAAGTTTTGGGCGTTCATAAGATGAGAGTTATGCCTATGATCTAATCAGAATCTGTGATGCAACATTGATCTACATTGCCTCAGGGAACTCCTGAAGGAATTTTACAGTACTTGCCAGGGATCTATCAAAGACAGGAAACCTCAGCAGATCATTATTTACAGGTGACATGGGGCTTTCCTCCTTCTGAATAGTGTATGCCCTTCCAAACAGTTTCTTTTTTGGCATGGTAGTAGATAAGGACATCAGTAGGCAGTCATCTCTTTCGTGAAGGAATGTTCAGCAAGACAATAACGTCTCATGTCTCGTGTCTCATGTGCGATCGATTCAAAGATCAGTTTGTGGGTGAGGGTTGTTCAATATACTCATACGGCATCTTAAGATACTTGTTGCAGGGATGGAGTGAGTGAGTCTCAGTTCGAACAGGTCATTGAGAAAGAACTGATCGCCTTCAAGAAAGCTTGCAGAGCACTTGAACCTAACCAAGATTATAATCCCGGAATAACCCTTGTAGTTGTGCAAAAGCGGCATCATACTCGGTTTTTTCCCGCAAAGGGTGGTGGGAATGTTAAGCCAGGTATGTCAGGTCATATTTCTGTTGTGCGTATGTACAACTTTGAAGCATATATTCATAGATGAGAATGTATCTATCAGTATGTTAGACATATGAAAACACTCTTATTCATGTATCGATGAACGTGTTCTTTCAGGTACCGTTGTGGACACGGACGTTTGCCATCCTCGAGATAACGACTTCTTCCTCATGAGTCACAACGGGCTGATAGTGAGTAACTGCACTTGATTTGCACCTTTTCGTATTCCCACGAACTCTTAGTCAGATGAAAACTTGACTAACACTACCGAAATCAGGGTACAACCCGACCAACGCACTATCACGTCCTCTATGACGAAATCGGTTTTACACCGGACGAGTTGCAGCACCTCACGCATTGCCTCTGCTACAGGTACTTGTTGGACTTATGTTACTCCTGACAATTTTTCGACGTATATTGTAGCATTAGAGACTTTATTACTCCAAACACCTGGCTTTTTGAACTCATCTGCGTTCCGACTTGTCCATTAGATAGAATGCTATCTGATGAATTGTCACTTGTGGCTTGCAGCTACGCGAGGTGCACAACGGCTGTTTCTGTCGGTAAGATATCTTTTTCCTCGAGTTCTGCCGCATTGTTCTGTAAAGGGTGCAGTTTGGTTTCTCCCCGTTTTCTGCTTTCTGACATGCTGCTGATCTGATTTCAGCTGCCCCTGCCTACTACGCGCACTTAGCTGCCCAACACTGCCGTAACTTCGTCGATTCCGATTCTTCTGGGTCAGAATCATCTTCAATGACTGCGAGAGCTGGAAGAGTGCACCGACTCCCTGCTTTGAAACCTCAGCTGAACAAGAAAATGTTCTATGCTTGAAGTTTTTGCACTAGCAAGTATGGCTTAAATTTTGTCTATTCTTAACCCAACGAGCGCGAGGGCAGCAACGGACCATCATCGAGTGAAATATCAAATCGAGGAGGATCGAATGGTCTTGTAGGGTTACCTGGAGAATCTGGAGTGTCTTTTAATCGTCGAGATATTCGGTGTTGTATTCTTCAGAAGTGGCTTCGTGGAGAGTAATGGAGGAACGTGTAGTTCATGTTAAACTAGTGGATCTTGTTAAATGTCTCCTAAGCTGCTTCAAAGTCTGTACAGATACGAAAGAATCAAGTTCGGTGTAAAATCTGCGGTCAGAAGGCACTGCTTCAAATGTACGTTGTAGAAAGCGTAGGATACTGTACGAAATTAGTGGAGTAGTTTTTCGTTTATTGTTAGTCTCGTAGGAAATTTTTCCAATGTGTTCATTAGACACTTATTCAATTGAATCGCAAGTTGAATCGTCCATATTGTGGTTGAGAAACCTGAAGTGAGTTTCGTTTGATAGACATTTCTAAGTTCTTATGGTGAAAATACAGTCTAAAGACACAGTCTGGAGATTGGTGATCATTTTGTGGTTGCAAGAGTTTTTCGTCATACAAGAAAGGAATATAACAGAAGAAAAGGATACGGTTTATGAAATGTTTTGGTAGATGAAATGTTGGTTGTAGATAATATCTGCACATTGAGCATATGTAGATGTAAAGTATTACAGGTTTGTCAACATTCGAGTATGAAGTATCGCAGGTAATTATTCATAATTGTAAACTGTTAGAAGTGCTTCATTAATGTTCCAAAATGGAGGGTGAAGAATCCTTCAAAGTAAAGTATAGAAATTGTAGATGATAGGTTAGAGGCAGTTTTTGTGTACTTTAGTTATGGATGAAGGGATTATTGTAAAGCATATGCCACATGTACACGAATTGAAGTAAAATTTGTCGGGTGTGAATGGAAGAGCGAGATGTTCAGTCATTGTGCCAAGGGTCAATTTACACGAAGCTGATGTGAAGAAGAGGAAAAGCAGTTAAAGTAATTTCGAATGCAATGGTTCAGCAGCTTATAGTCTAGCTGAAGACGTAACTACTGCAACGAATCATACTTAATTGATATAATGTCGAGATGTGACACAGTTGACATTTATTAACAGATATATATCAAGCGAATTGGAGGGAATTTGCAATAGGAATTTTCATGTCCATATCACGAAAGTACATGAGGAATGTGGGATAGTGAGTCGTCGCACATAGACGAGTACATGTGAAGAGAATGTTCTACTTTTTTATTTTTTTCAGTTCCGAAGTTTTATTTACATATCAGCAAAATACAGAATGTATGGAAGATAACACCTGTCTAAAACATGTCTGAGAGTGTTGGAAGCTTCATAGTTCCGGATGTTTCCAACGGCAGGGTGAATTTGCCGACTATAGGCAGTTTGAACTGAACGCCCACTTCGAATTTGTAATCGATGTCCCAATCAGCTCCGACGTCTTTCATCAGGTTCCACAGAAAGTCATAAGGTACTACTGTTGGAAGTTCGATGTTTGTCTTGTCGAGAGCTTTGATGTCACCTGGGTCTGTTAGCTGTCCTGATCCAATCTCTCTGCGAGTCACAAACAGTTGTTCATGAGTATACTTAAGCGCTATTCACATTTCTAACAATTTAGCTAGATTCGAAGCGGTGGTGTTATTAGGAACTGAGTGGTCATGTCTGATTTCACAATCTAAAGACTGATTGTCATGCCAGAAGTGTCGATTAGAATCAAATTTTCCATCTAGCCAGAATCAAGTACATCAAGCTTCCTAATCTACAACTGCCACCCCAAAATCCGAACGAGATGAAACAGTCTAAATTTGCGAGATTGTGGTCAGTACTGATTCAATGATCTGTCTCAGAGTAGAAGGATGAAAGAATGTAGCCCGCATGGAGAAAAAGGTACGAGAATGTGTAAGACTGTACCGGTTGTTCGAGAAGATCTTGTAGGTGATAGTGACGACCGGCAGGTCATGATCGTAAGGGTTGGTGATCGATACGATGCCCGCCATGGTCACATTCTTCCTACTCACGTCCTTGAAGTCCAGATCTGATAGCTCACATGACGGCTTGGGCACTTGGGACAGCTTGTCCACAGCCATCTCCTTGGCTTTCTGGATCAAGCTCGACATCTTGTCCGATCGATCCGAGGTTTCAACTGTAAATCTGAGCTGCAGCTGTCACTGTCACTGGACTAAGAAGAGTACGCCGCCGTGTACAACGAAACTGGGATGGACCAGCGTCTGCTAACTTGGGCTGCGAATGAAAGGATGCGATTGGTACGCTATGTTCAGAAGCTGCCGCAGATTTATATGCCACAGCGGTAGAACTGCAGAAGTCGTCGAAGTCTGCGAGGCCCCGGAAAATCTGGTGCCGAAGAAACCTCCACGACACGTCAACCGTCTGCATCTGTTCCGACTCCCTGGTGTCGGCCGGAGGCTCGCCCAGCTGGTGCTGCTGGTTTGGATCTGCTATGACTTCACGCGTGGCACATTTTCAGTCGCGGTCGCCCTGCTCGGCCACGTATGCAATGGTTGGAATCCTTGAGCTTCCTGTTGAACGATCTCGTGACACTGGCTCTGCGCGATGACGCTTCCGCTTCACGCGCAGTCCCAGACTCCTCGTGTCCCTTAGACTTGCATCCTCTCCTCCCTGTACTCTTTCATCTGTTACCATGCTGTTCGAAGGCGCCGGTGCATGAGCTCGAACGCTGTCCTGCCACCTGATGCCTCAGCCATCAAGTACGATCTCCACGTACACAAATTCCGTACTCTGTACGACCACCATGTTCCCTTCGATGCACGCCGAGCCCGAGAGTTCAGCCTGAACGCAGTCAGAGTCTTTTGTTCTACAATGTAGAACAAAAGTCCTTTGGTTCTTCAGAAGACCAAAGGACTTGTGTGTCTTTTTACCGATAGGTACAATTCGTGTTTTGAATAAGGCGTTTTGAATAATACTTGTCTTAAGGCGTCCGATATAGGCTTTCCATACAATATAGTTTGTGAACTGAAGGTGTGGGTTTTAGGCATAATTTAACATAGCTCTGAAAGTATAATAACATTCTTGCAAACAATAGTTGACATGAATTTCTTTAAATTATTAGCGTGACATTTTTATCCAAATATATCTATTCTAAATTTAGTTTTCTAACATGTACTCAATCTATAGATAGCGGAGTCTCAAATGCAGTGGTGAATGATGAATAGATTGAGTTTGTTGCTTTCAGCCGATGATTGGAGACAATTGTTCTCACGTATATCATGGAAATGAGTTTTTATTGTTGAAAGGAAAAGATGACCTTTTATATGCGAGAAATTTTAAAAAAATATCTTGGCTTTCACAAGGGTTTTCATTCAAGACTCTATCTAGGAAGTTCCTAAAGTACATTGAAAAACCGAAACCTGTATCTACCTTCTTTGAAAATTGTTTTTCCTCGCTGTTGCTCCAAAAAAAATCCCTTCCTCCTGATGTAAGAATGCGTAGCTAGATTGATTTTTTTTTACATATTTCATGTTTTCATTCAGCTAATGAACAACTTCCACCATTCTTCAACTTTTTGATGTGACAAGCTTACTTTTTTCTCTCTCTACCTCACTAATTAGATGCTTTGCGGATGCCCCGTCCATTCAATGTCGAGAATGCATGATGAACTCCTCACCTGAAGTAACTCATATTATATTATACTTTTGTAGCAAAATCATCTAAATTGCATTGACTCTCTTCATATTTTACACCCTCATATGAATAAGTAAAAAAGAAAAATAAATAAAAGTATTCAAGTAAGAAAAAGCAAAATACTTTGCTGATCTCTCTTGGAATAAAAAATGATACCCAAAATGCATTTTTCCTCTCGTTCTAATAGAATTGTGACAGTGAAACAGAGAAACTTTTGACTTTGAAAGATTGAAAGGGAGGCTTTTTGTTTTGTTTATCTTTTACGAAACTCTATTTTTCTTTGGATATTAGTAAATTTGAATTTATGACACATGTACAACAAGATTTGACTTCCAGATTTTTTCATGAAGAAGTACTGTACAAGTTCTTTGACCTTGAAAAGAGGGTTACAGCTCGCAGACTTATGTAATCATTACATCTCAGTGTCTCAGAAGAATGTGCAAGAAGAATGCCACATTTGATAATAATTTCCCATGACAAATCATATATCACACACTAGATTTAAAATATCAGTATTTATATCTGAATACAATGCTATGTTCGAGACATTATAGGGAAAAAGTCTGTATGGTATTGTTTGACTTCTTTGAGAGAATTTCAGAAGACCTCCAATTTCATGATCACTTTAATTGCTTAATCTGTCACTTTGTTGTATAAAGGAAAGAAAACCTATCAACTTGCTCCACTTATCATCAAAAAATGAACCAGAGAAAAATCATGCGGATTTGAAAGATTGTTCAAGATAACCTCAGCAAAGTAGTATCAGGTCTATCAAACGGGATGATATGTGCACCCGAGCTGACCTATTATAGATATACATTAAGTTTTGTCACGATAATCCAAACCCCGTGCTCAATCATGTTGCATGGATCGCGGTCGTTATATCGAGTATAAAAGACTCTGAATGAGTAACAAGAATATTTTTTTATATAATAACCAAATATCGTTCTTCGTTATATCGAGTATAAAAGAGGCTGAATATGTAGCAAGAATAATCTTATATATGGATATCCAAATGCTGATCGTGATAATATATTATCTAGACGTTCTACTCTTGGATTCTGATACTAATGGCAGTCAAAGCGGGAACTCTAAGTCATTTTATTCGGTATGATGTAGATTGTCTTTCATTAAGTCGAGATGCTGCAAAAGCATGTGGAGTTGAAACATTCTAAATGCTATGCATATAGGGAATAAGGTCCAATCAAATTAATGTGTCTCGTAGTGATTACTAAGTTTCACCACAGACCTAAAAACATGGATGCATGCTTCCAGCTGGTCAAAGAACTGGCTGCAATCATAATTTTCTACTGCGTATATTGCCGAACTAGAGATATGGCTGCTACTCTAGAGTTTGACAGGGTATGTCTTGTTATCAAGAAATGTCTGCAATGGAATAGAGAATTTGGAAGGTGAGGGGGAGCGTAGGTATTGTGTGTGAACATAGCACCGATTTATTCGACTCGCTTAGTTGCACAAACTTTTACAAACGGCCGTACTGCCAGGTGTCAAGGATACCAGTTTCTTTCCCCTCTTTCTTTCTTTCTTCATGCTCCCTTTGGGCTGCCCCGAGTCAGCCGGATTTTATCTTAGTTTTGGGAACGGGGATGCGGGGCACTTTGCGGGAAGGCTCGGCGGACCCTACATTCCGGCAACCATGTAGAGGCCCTCAACCGGATGAAATTCCAACAACCATGTAGAAGAGAGGCCGTCACTGTAGAGGCCGCAACGTTGTATCTAGTGCGTTGCAATGATCTACGCCGTAACAATGATCGCGGTCGTGTCGTGGAACTTTGCGGGAAATAAAAACTAAAACTGAACCGCAAGAGGTATAGCTCAGATGGAATACCTAATGTTCAAACTGTAATATTTGTAATCATACGGTGATAACTTATTGAGGCGACAAAATTTTAAGCGGCAAAGATTAGGGTTTTTAAAAATAGAATCACATCGATATTCTCCAGCTCGTCGTTTCGATGTCGCTTTTGGGTGCCAGTGTCAGTGCTTTGAGGAGCTCGTGCCAGAACTCGTGCTTGTACTTTTCTTGTCATTTCAGGAGCTTTTTGCAGGTGTGGTGACAGCATGGAGGCAGGATGGATTGTGCAGGACCCTACAGCGTCAAGGTTAAGGCTTATCAAGGTCGCGAAATGTTTTTGTCAGTTGATGTAGTACACGTTTGAAAGTTGGAAATGTAGTACACATTTTTGTCGGCACGGTACTAATTAAATTCCCGCTTCTCAGGAACTGGTCAGCAAGTGAAAATCATTCCATTCATTCGATGGTTGCTTCAACCAGGAATTGATTCAGCTCGCAATCATGACTACCTTCAGAAGGCCTCAGTTCCTCTGACGTTTGTAAGTAAATCTCCTAGTTGTACCATTTAGAAACGATGTTTCAAATCCCGTCTGATGCACATGCAAACTGTTTTCAGCAGGAATTGCGAGAAACAGCCTTCCCGATTGTATCTTTACCTCAGGTGAGAAAGGTATTGGTATTGGTATTGTCTAAACCATATATCTACGTATATACGAGTCGAGCGTTTGTAGCTTGGAACAGATTCATCAGGGTTCAATTTAGCTTGAAGATCCACCGAAAGGTTTTCCTTCTCTCCCTGCTGACGGATCTCCAAAGATCTCTCATGTCCAACTACCATTCTTTTAATGAGAATGCATCTCTTCGGAAATTGCTATGTACTATATGGTGCTATTTTTTGAGCTCATGGGCTCCTTCAAAGATACTGTTTCCGGGGTTAAGTCTCGGAAGGTGCTAGATTTGCTCTTGCTCTCTTGGACTTAGCCGATACTCGCACTAAGCATGTAGTTGTCCAGGACTCAACATCATGTCCATATTGCTGATGGAAATTATATACCATATTACACTGTGATCGTTTCTCTTATTCATTACCATCATAATTAATGGATGACATGTATAAGTCGGTTTTAAACAAATCATGAGAAAGCAATATGGAAAACACGTGACTCTTAATTCTCAAGTTCACCAAGATGCACTTGGGAGTTCAGGGTTGTTTAATAAGTTCGATATCAACCAGGATTCAATAGCCAACATTGGACACGGTAAGAACTTTATTTTATTGGCCATCTTTGTTACGATTGTTTGTTAATATTCACACTAAATTACATTTTGTCGCTGTATCTTTTATGACTAACGCTCAATGAGACAATTGGGCAACTTATGCAGATTTCACCTTTTCAAAGAGAATAAGAATACTCAGGATGACTTGATGATTATTGGCCGCATGCTTGGAGTGCAAGTGAGTTAATTAGATCCATAAATATACATTTCGGCTCTGTACTATCTGAGATACAAGCTTAAGGAGCCGCATTTCATGAGAAATGTGATTGCTCTTCAGTTTTGTTGGACAGCTTCAGGTTTTGAAGATGACAATGAATTTTGTTTTCGCAATGTATTGCAGCCAAAATCGTTTTCCTTTGCAGGTACCAAAGACAAACGAGCCGTCACTACGCAACAGGTATCTGTAGCCCTTTTTCTGAACTATTCAGTAGAATTAATTGTTTTCATTTTTGAGGTTCATGCGTTCGTGTAAGGTGAACGGGTTCATTATGCATACACAAACAAGAATTAAACTAAGGCTTTCTTTGCCTCCTATGAATGAAAACTTCCCAATCTTCAAAGTACTGCTCTTCGTACTCGTTATGTACATTGGAGGATCAAGGCGTTTTATTCAGAATTTCAAGTACAGAATTAGATTGCACGTTTCTTTTATACTGAAACTCTTTTGTTTTCAGGTAACTGTTTACAAGCAACCAGCAGCGAAATTGGCTCTACTTAACAAGAAGCATATGGGAGTAAATTTGGTAACTTCAGGTGAATTCCCTACTCGCTTCAATCTTACTCTCTGTATAGCAGTTGGACTTTGGACTCTGCATGTGAACCCTTTTCATTTTCTTAAAAAGTCTTTTGTGTCATTAACTTTGTGTCCATTGTTGTCGATAGTATTCACTGTTT